TTGTCATTGTTGTTTTTTAGCTGGCGCCAGCCAGGTTCAAACCTGCCAGCCTTGGTGTAGAGGCCGGCACTGTACCCACTGAGCTACAGGAGCTGCCTGAAATAGGACTATTTTCATTTCCATACCAAATATTAGTGACGTAAAGCAAATAGCATTAGGAATAATAGTTCTTTTTTTCTTTTCAGATGCAGTCTCACTTTGTCACCCTTGGTAGAGTGCCATGGCATCATAGCTTACAGCCACCTCACACTCTTGGCATTCAGGCAATCCTCTTCAGCCTCCTGAGTACCTGGGACTATAAATACCGGCCATCATGCCTGGCTAATTTTTAGAGACAAGGTCTCGCTCTTGCTCAGGCTGGTCTCAAACTCCTGAGCTGAAGCAATCCACCAATTTCAGTCTCCCAGAGTGCTAGGACCACAGCTATGAGCCATTGCACCTGCCCTTTGGATAGTAATTCTTTACCTTACTGAGTCTGACTTCTAGATGGCCTATCACAGAGTTATACATGGATACAGTAGACTTAAAAACTTAATCCTCACTTATTGTTAAGTAGTCAGTATGCTTTTATCACTTTTATTAATAAAGCAGTAAACTTCCAGATAGATGATTAATATGACCCAATTATAAATGTAACTAAGTGACTATATCATCAATACATTTAAGAAGCAACACAGTTTGGCATTACACTGGAACAAAAGATTCTGAGATTTCAAATTTGGTACGATAATATTACTAACAATAATAATTGAGCAAAGAATGATAGGATTGCTTTGGGAGATAAAAAATTTTTAAAAAGTATAAGAAAGGTCTGCAAGATTGCTAATGCTGCTATAAAATATAACATTTCATTTAGTGAGTTATAATAATTTAAGATTTCTATTTTTAATATGAATGCTGTTTCTGCCATTCCTCTTCTGTAATCTTTGTTAACGCTCCTCCATGTAGGATTCAGTTTTGATACTGATAGGATTCTGAGTTCATGTTAGTAATAAATACAAAGGGGCAGATAAGAGGAAAAAAAGACAACTAGGAGTATAATAATCAAATTTTAAACATGAAAGCAGACTCACAGTACATTGTATATGTGAATGTATTGTACCAGGTAACCCCTCATAAGTTCAATGATCTATTCAACATTTCTACCTGATTCACAGCTCTCTGGTTCATGGTGCTCTGGTTCACTCTGGCTTTGGACGGTCAAAGTCTCTGTGGAGCAGCAGTGTAT